TTTTTCCAGGCCATTTAGTTGTAAGTTATGAATGTTATGATGTAGTTCATTATATTATAACGTTTGGAACAACGTGTAGCACAAAACCATGACGTTTACCACCGGATCGTTCGGAAATTGCCAAAAGAGAATTCAAAAATATGGTGGAGTTGGAGATTTGTTGACCATCAAGTAGCTCTTGATCAAGCCCACTACATTTGATTGGAAAAGCTGATGGCCATGTTGGGGATTATCGAGCTTTCAATTACAAGACAATTGCAGAAGAATTGTTTTTCCAAAATTGACTTTAAGAAAGCATATTATCAACACATACCTGTAGCTGTTAAATGTAAACAAATGTATTTTTAGAGTTGAACAGATTGATTTTTATAGGATATAGTATAAGTAGCACATGGAAACTAAATCACTTCCATGAAAATTCCAGGCTATTCTTAATTACAAAAAACCACATACAGTCAAAAAGCAACGAAACATTTTAGGTAGGTATGATAAATTTTTACTGACATTTTTAGCCAAACGCTGTTGAAAATCATATCCTTTGTTGACATACCAAAAAGGCCACGATTCTTGTAGGCAGTACAAATAATATCCCAAGAATTTGAAAATATGGTTTTTATGTTGTATTATGAACAGCTGCAGTAGCATAGGTAGTTTATGAAAAAATGGGGAAAACTGTTTTCGCCGAATTCCATATTYTGAATGTGTATACGAAAAGACGATGAATACCGCTGTCCGGATATTGTGATGCATTTTTTTTTTGGTGAAAGACAAATGCCAAAATAAAATAAGAAAAAAAAATCACATTGTACAAAAGCACCAACATTTCATCGTACATAAACGCCAAAATCCTAAGTACCCGTGTGCCATGGTGAATAAATATTAAATTTAAAACTAACCGATTTATTAAATTTATGTTGGTTTGCATATGTATATCATAATTTACTATTGATATTTTTTTTTWAAAAATCGCAACCAATCGTATTAAATTTATACTGATTTKCAAGTTTATTATAGTTTAACAATATAATATATAGTATAATTTTTCATATGATAGCAACTTTTAAATAACTACTTATATAAAATATTTCTATATAATTATAAAAATAACAATAATTCATAAACCTAATCATGAGAAAATACGCTATGTAATTTTATAAAGCATAATATTATATGCAATAATAATTTATTTGCAAACTTGTTTATATATTATACTGTGTTAGAATTTTAAAAATCAAACTGTTTCTCATCTACCGGAAGAATCTATAAGTTGTCCGACGTTTAGACCGTGGGCCGTGGCTATGGCCATATCAGTGTTGGTGAGTTGCGGCCCAAACCCTAAATAACGTACGAGTTGCGGCCCGGGTTTATGAGAGGTACGTACGAGTTGCGGCCCGGGCTTATGAAAGGTACGTACGAATTGCGGCCATACAATAATATATATATATATATATATTATATACTATATGTCTATATATAGTAATAGTATATAAACATCACAATATTATGTAGGTATTTTCTAGAATAAATTGTCGTACTTATATTAATATTGGTCGTAAATAAAATAAAAGTATTCATAAAATTATTGAATATAATATAATATATTAATATTATGACATTATATTAAATAATAAATAAAAGTATAATTGGTGTAATATATTATGATGATAATGCCCAAAAAAAATCAAAGCATTCATAATGTAAGTCATATACCTATGGCAGATAATACGATAAAACGATCTATATTATCTTTATCATATTATATACAAAAATATAACTTACTTACCATACGTATTGAACATTTCGTTTATCGTTATTCGTTTATACGGTACATAGGTAATAGGTATATAATATAATATATATTATATAAGTAAGGTACATATGTAATGATAATTATTCGGGCCGCAACTAACCTATACCTAAAATATTATCGGACCGGAATTCACCGGTCTCCAACACCGGAAACGAAAGACCGCAACTCACCCTCAGCCGGCCATATAACCGAATTAACCATATTAGACCAGGGCATCAATTTAATTAGCCATCATTTGGCCCATTTTCTGCACGTACATGACTTATGTTGTCGAACTKTGACAATATGTATTGGTAATAAATAATAATAATATATTAATAATATCATATAGTTATTCGGGTTATTCCATATTCGTGGGCTAAGAGTAAAAATGTTTTTTTTTTTTTTGAAATTTACTTTACCTATTAAATATTCCCTATAAGTTTTCAATGGTGAATGTTTTAAACTAGAAATTAGTTTGGTACAAGTTATAAAGAATGATCTACACAAAGCAAAAAGATTCTATGTCTTTGAACAAACCAAAATGCTTTCCTGTAAAATAAAAAGTATTAATATAAAAACTTTTTATTCTCAGCCCACGCAATACAATTTTGTGTATTTGATTGCGYGAAAACACATGTGAGAAAAAAATAATCGTCCGTACTCGATCGCATTTCCATCAAAATACTTCGATTTCAATAATCGACTATTCATCAATCGTGAAACTTAAGGTGACTAATCACACTCAATAATTGTTAATTAAAATAACGTGAAYCGTGATGCCCACTAAAACATCATTTTAAAATTGTTTAATATGGTGAAGCGATTAAGTGGTTCTATTGATGAACTAAATGGTAATTATAGTTCACATACAGTACTCGAGTCTCGAGAAGAAAAAGACTGCAAGTTTTATAAAAAAAACCTACTGCRTATTATATAGGTATAGAWCACTCTTTCAAAATAGTGAAGGCGGTGCATTGGACRTACATAAATTCAAGTTATAATAAAATGTTTGTGGAATATCGGGGAAATGTATCATTGATAAAWGTACGACTGAGATGCAAACATTTTATCATCCTAAAGACTATAATAACAAAAAAAAAAACTGTTGGTGAGTACTCAAGTGCAGCTACAGTTTTTGAAAAATAAAATGGTCTCGCTGAAAAAAATAATATTATAAAACAAATAAWAGTACTTACACGTTCGCACGTATCGGACCATTTTAACGCAACAGCCGTTGCAACTGACCAATGGAGGTTGGTCTTGAGGCATGGCTGTGTAGTTGAATGGATCCTTGCATCGAGGATCTTTGGCGCTATCACACTCGTAACAGTAAATGGATCGTGCTGAATGCGTCGCAGGAGATCGCATGACAAAACAAAACCAATATCAGTATAAACGCTTTAAACGTGATGGCGATATGATGAATTATAATTTTTTTTTTTAGAGTTTAACTGCTATGTATATCACTGCACTCAGTATTATTATTATTATTGTGACATTCATCAGTTACCAGCGAATATGATTATAGAAATATTATACGCAAAACGATCAATCATTTTACACATCACAAGATTATTGTTTAAGCCACAAAGCGTAAAATGCGATTTATTTAGGTATCACGATCGTTTAAAGTTTTGTCTAAAGTCTCTCATATTCCTAATCTCAGTTGGCCGAGGTTAATGTTGTGGATCATTTGGTGTATTATGATTTTTAGCTAAAATAAATATTTTTTTAAATCAAGTGATGAGATGTGTGAAATATATTAGTATCTAGTTAATACAAATATTAAAACGATTTAATGTACGATTATATGAATTCAATTATTGCCACCATCAGGGGTTCTGTTTTCAACTTAGAACATAAATAAGGTTTCAATATGGAAAGAATCGTTTGAACTATTTGTTCATATATTTTACTTTTACATCAAAAATTAAACTTGCTTTAACAAATTTAAAAAATTTAAATGAAAATAATATATATGTTATACGTGGCAAGAGTGGGAAGTGAGCTGGTCATAAGCTTTGGTCGAATTTCATCCAAGATTGAATATACCTTTCAGCACACAACCTTTCACATACTATGCCTCCACGTTTATCGGTCACGGCAAAGGTAATTCATGAATCTAACGCAGAGCTGTAAAAGCAAGGCAGATGAGGCGGCAGCTACCCAGAGAACTACCATTCTAGGGTYCCCATGCCTATAATAAGATTTAATGATGTTGACGAAAATATTTTTGTTTTGGAATTACAAAAAAATCGATTTATAGGAATTTATCGTTAATTATTACTTTTGAATATTGAATATCGTGAAAATTTTAAATTCAAATTAATTTAAGATAGAAAAACTTATGGGGAATCGTCTAATCAAATTGTATGTAGGCATATATCAAGGAAAACATTTTATGAATTTATAACTGAAAAATAATTTACTCATTTTTGAGATTTTGATGAATTTCAGAAAAGATGCAGAAGTTAATAATGCCACTCACATCATTGTAAATACAATACACTTCTTTACGCTCAGAATTTAAACATAAATAAATACTTAAGAGTAAAGTTTAATACTTTGTTTAATTGTATGCGTATATAAATGGTTTTACATAAGTTAAATGAAATAGAAAAAAATTTCAGCAGTACTTGGCCATACGAATGGTCCGATTAGCCTGACAAGTTATTGAGGATACCTCGGTGGGCTGCGACAATTTTGGTTCGCTTAAGTCATGACTCAAGAGGATTGAGGACGCTTATAGAATATGTTAAGAGTTTAAAGTTAAAAAAATGGAGACTAAATTTTGGACTTGCATAGAAGATTGTAGGTGTCGTTGATATTAAGTCCATAGATAAAGTATGAAAAAACTGGGTGCACCGAATTCGTCCAAAAACATTTTTTGGGTTCATGAAAAAAATGTCTATTGACCTGTGAAAAAATGTATACGGTCTCCGTTAAACCTCTCATCAGCGCTGCAGGGATCTATGCTACAACCAGACTAAGTTCATAAAAGATAAATGTTTACGCGTCATGCAAAGAGGTTATAATAAGAATATTAGATAAGTAATCAAAATTATATGTTTTGTAAGTACCGTGTCAGTGGCGTATTTAGGTTTTTGTCATGGGGGGGGGGGGATATGACTTTATATAGAAATTACCAACCCGAGGTGGGCTACGTCCCCCCTCACTACCTAAGTTTCCATGAATTATAATAGCTTATTAATATTAAATATACAATCTATGTTTGAGGATGTTGTCAAAACTATAATATATAACACGTTACTTGAGATTAATTAATGTTTTATTAAAATAAAATTGAAAACTGATTTTACAATTATTAAACAAAATCTAATTTTCTAGATTTTGTTGCTAAATCATTTATTCATTTATAACTTCTTCAACTGATAAGTTTATGTCTCAATGAATTKATAACAGTGTTAATCCATTTAAACGTGTCTAAACTGTGCCCACCTCGATGTCATGATAAATTAGAGTATTTTTTTCAGTGCTCGTTTCCAGCTTTTTATCTTGCTGTCAATTGTCATTGAAATATTTATTTTTGAAGGTTTTATGGTTTAATATTTTACATCTAATACTTTTTAAAAATCGTCATAGTCTTCAAAATTCAGATTAAAATCTCAAAACTGGAAATTGTTAAATAAATATCAATAGATAATTATAAGACGATTGTGATATTATCAATTATGATAACATGTGAGGTATATTTAGTTCATGTCCGTTAGTAATTAGGTACTATACTATAGTATCCGTCTTACCTGTAGATAATATACGAATGGATAGGCCATAACGACGGTAATAATGACCTTGATATTCTTACTCTATCATGCCTTGATCTATGATAATACGGACCGTATAGACCCGGTGTGATCATTGATCACAGACCAATGACCAGCGATACTAATATACAATACCTATATGTATTATAATTCTTGCAAATGTAATCAATTATTGATAAAAAAAAAAATGATATTTTAAATAATAAGATGACTATAATTATTTGCATGTATGTGGGAGATTTATCCCCTTGATCCCTCCCCCCCCCGTAAATACGCCACTATTCCGTGTTATTGATTTTAGTGTCTGGTTGTGCGGGGGATAAACGCCTAGCAGTTTCGGGGATTACCACCTGACATTTTTTGAAAATTTCACCGCCCAGCACTATGGAATTCCCAAATTACCACCCACTGACCCGAAAAATGTCACTTTCGAACAGGTACCAAAATCAAAATTGTCAGAACAGGTATGACAAAAAAATAAATACATTGAAAATTAAAATTAAATTCTTTGAAAATATTTGTAAGATAAATGTAAATCACAAATTTTATAACAATAAAAATTGAAACTTAAGGAATGAAACTTAAAACTAATTTTTGTCTTGATATCTATTATATTTATAAAACATTTAACAAAATGTATATGGAAATTAAAATTCATATTGCAATATACTATGATATTTTTAAGTAATTCTAACCGAGGTATTCATTAAAAGTGAAAAAAAAAAAATAGAAACTTTCTCAAACTAAAAATGTTTGAAAAAAATATTCGCTGGTCTGCAGAGGTTTAGTGGACGTCAATAAAGTCAACCTTATTAATATTATCATTATTTTATACTTTAAAAAGGTGGGGTATTTTGAATAATATTAAATAATATTAGAGTAATGACAGGTGAGTTGTACGTATACGTATTGGTATATTATATGAATACACAGTGAGATTTGCCAAGCATGCTCACCCCTTTTTATTTTCAATAATGCAGTATACAGTTATTCAAAATCTAATTTTTTGATCTTCAAATATATAGTTTCAAATATTATAAAATCAAGTTCTTGAAAACATCATTTTTTTTTTAAGTATTAACTTATTCACTAAATAATTTATAGTAAAAAAGGCATCTCTTGGTTCCATTTGAAGAACAGAAGTTTGTTATTACCCCAAGTTACTCCTTAAGCGCAGTACAAAAATCTCAAGAATTTTAAAATATCTAAATATTCTACAAATCAGATTTTGAATATTTAAATTATTGAAAAAAGAGGTGGCAAATCACCCTGTACATACTAAAATCTGTATAAATCTACAAATGAAGAGGGAGTTGTGACCAAAGTGTAAATTATGTTTGACACTCTTCTCCAAAACTACCCACAAGTGATATAAAATAGTATTATAATATATCCGAGTAGAAGAAATAAATAATAAACAAACTCAACCAACGTTTAGATTTTAATAATATACATAGTAAGTGCCTATGTAAAATTAATAACTATAAAACTAACTGTAAAATTACTAACTATGATTATACCTATTAGAGCTCGAACTTTATTCAATTTTTATTTTTGTTTATTTATTGCTATTGTTACGCTATGTAAATTATTTTAAAGTCAACGAATCAAAAATAATATGTTGGTTCGTATATTTTGAGGTAGGTATATACAAGTTTTAGTAGGAAGTAATATGATTGAATACTTCTTAAGCTATAAATAAACACAATAATTGGAGCTTTTAAAATTTTGGATGAGTTGCATTTATAATAAGTACTCATTAATTTATATTTTCTGACTTATGTATAAAAGTGAAAATGGAAGAGCTTAAAGATCTGAGATGGAAAGACAAATGCAAAAGATCTCTACAAGACATGTTACATATTCATTGTAAATATGTATATTTTTCAGAAAGTAATGTAAGTAATGTTTTTAATAATCCGTCAGATACGACACTATCAAAGTATCAATGTTTTTCAAATTATGCACAGAAGATGAAAGTGCTAAAACATTGACTTATGATAAAATTCCAGGTTACTATATATGGAACCAGGCTGGTAAAAGTGTAATCGGCGTAAACAAGGAATTGCGGTAGAAGGGCACCCTGGCGTCAAAAAACTAATGCTCTTGGCAGGGTAATAAAATCCATCCTAGCAATACCGAATGTATTCACTTGAGGATGCTACTCCATAAAGATAAAGATCCAACTTATTTTCAAAGTTTTTGCACAGTGTAAAGTGTCACTTTACAAGGTGCATGCAAAGCGTTGGGTTTATTGGATGACGAGTCTCATTGGAAAAACACGCTATCAGAGCTTTCTATATGTTGTACATCTAAATCACTCAGATGCTTATATTTGATATCATGCTAACATTTTCTTAATAATTTACTACTAATTCTTTAATGCTTAAATATAGATTCGTATAAGAACAACAAAAGTGTAACAGCTGTCATTACCTATAACAAAAATCATTTCATGTTTCGTGACCATTTTTTTCACCCATGCCTCAAGAAAAAAGTTTACTTTAAAATTGTTTCACCTTTACAATGCTGAATATTCGAGAAAATACTATAATTGAATATAATTTTAGTCTTCTAAGAAGATAGAGTAAATCTACGGAATTAGTCTCGGGAAGTTTTGAACATGACTATAGCTGGATATTTAACGACGAATTAAACACAAATATTGAATTATATAGTGTTGATATTCTTAACGGGCAACAAGGTGCACGAGGATAAGCTACTATTTTATGTAATTTAAAACTTATCTAAAGGGTGAATTCAAAACTATAATTTTCAATGTACAACACGCAAATAACTAATTAGTCCGTATTTGTTTTTAAATTTTTTTTTGCATTTACACTAAAATACCTGGATTAAAGTGACCATTGAGTGATGATCTGTTATTAGTAGGGAATTAGTGGTAGGCACATTACGTGTCAATAATTCGGTTATTTTTCATTATAGTACCTACTAGTATGTACCTCTAAACAATATATATACGTTTATAATAGGGGCACCAGGAATATTTTACTTTGTGTGATTGACAGACGTTATAATAGGCATCTATAACTATAAATCATTCAGTTTTGGGAGTAATGCATCTATTTTTATTCAGGAAGTGCATTAGGTGTAGGTACATTATATTTTGTATAAATATGAAATGAATCTACTTCGTTCCTAAATAAATAGGACATTGTATGCTCTTATGAACAATGTACAGAGAATAAAAAACTTTTCAGATGATTCTTTTGGCTCTGATCACAGATCACATGTGGTCACATTGTCACGAAATATTTAGAKTAGATACTGAGATGAAGTATTCAATCTAATTATCACTGAGTCAGAAATTCAGAATAGATCATATGCATTTAACATTCAACGATTTAACCCAATCCATTCTCTCTACCAAATAACTATTAATTGRCTTCAGAATGTGACACGTGCAAGGAAAACTTTACAATCAATTACATTATTGTGACTTGTGACCAAATACCCAAATAATATATATAAGCACGAAAAATCTTTATTACCTAACCCAGCCTCACTCTAGCATGCTCTTAACAAAGAAAAGACGAAATCACCATATTTATTTTTCCATTATATCGATTTTAAATAATTATAAGTAATTATGTTATTTTGTTTTACTTATATAACTAAGTATATATTATGTATGCCGTTAATAATGTAATTAATTTTATTATCAGTAATATGGCAAGTCAAATTAATTGTTGAAATATGATTATWAAAATTAAATTTTTAACTTCAGATCAAATTACTAACTCGATCTAATTTGATACCAGAAACCAGCCTCATAGTTGAAATTTTACAAAAYCGTTAGAATCTACAATGTATTAGGCACTCTATTTTCCTAATTTGTATGAAATATAATATTACAATTAAAATATACCAAACTATAACTATTGTTMTCATTAAAGCTTAGAGGACCTCGCATCAGCCTGTGCTGTCTTCGTCTTACAAACATTCGACATACCAAATTTTTAATCACCAATTTCTAATAGTGTGCTGTTAATTTTTATACTAGTAACTAGTGTGAATTGACCTATTATAAAATTTAAAGGAAATATTATTATCATTTGGAGTCCCACGTAGGATTTTATTAATGTTATTATTTTTAAGTAATAGTTATAATCATTTTAAAACGTACAGTTTTTTYTTGTGTTAGACTTCTAGACTTGTGTACACTCCACGTAAAATATTTAGTTTTTAAAGCATTATAAAGTTCGAACCCTAATTGGAATATTAAAAACTATGACGATTCATATAATTGAAAATTTGCATGATGCAATTATTAAAAAATAATATTATATAATAGGTATATAGTGCACCAGCGAGAAGGTATCATAACCCTGTGCTATATTTACCTATATGGCTATATACGTATATCTATTTCGTGCCATGTAAAATATTTTGTAGGTATGTGTGCTAGTGCGTATACTATCACGGTAATTATTATTATTATTTATTTTAAATTATTACTTCTACTCTGTCGTATATACTATAAGCGTAATATTATGTACCACCTACAGGTCAGCGGCACTCAGCAAGGCCCACATTTAAATTTTTTCACACTGTTATTATTATTATTATTAATTATTATATAAGTTGGTTGCACTACGTCACACACCTACCTTGATATGCTGAGCATTCCGTACTAGTACCGATGACTCCGGGTGTGATAATAATGAGTAAAACAGAAATTATTCTAAGGTCCTTCATCCGGGTCGATATTGTAGTATTAAGATTGATGTACGTAATGTAGTATTATAATTTTACGTATATGCATTACATTTTACATGCTTCATAATATTATAAATAGATATTAAAAGCGTTTGAAAATAAAATTATACAAAAAAAAAGGCAAATTAATAATATAATATGACTGGAGATTTTATGAAAACGATTGCGTATATATTGTATATTATAATAATATTATGTTGTAAACAGAAATCAAATAAAATGGTAAACAATAATATATTAAATTATGGTACAGTACTACAGTGTTTAAGAAGATAAAATATAAAACAATATGCGAAAAACCGTTTGTCAAAAAAAAAAAAAATCTAAAAAAAGTCCGCCCATAACCGACGAATATCGATATAATAAGTATTTAGCAATATGTAACAAAGTGATACCGTTGTCCGTCGTATAGGTACAGACACGTTTTTAATAGACGTATAATAATATTGTGTATTAAATCATTTTGAAGTAATATATTAAAATTATAATAATATGTTATGTTTTGTTACTCACGGGGAAAACATTCCTCGCGGGACAGCGATATATTAACCAACACGACAACTGAAATACAAAAGAAACACACAACTTTAAGTATACATTTAGGTACGCGGATTTCTGCGCAAACAATACATAATATTATAATAATAACAAAAGKGGGTACGTCGACATAATATAATATTATAAACGTTAGCACATGATATCATGATTATTATTAKTAGTAGTAGTAT